ATATTGGATTATTCTTAGGGTACAGTAGGGGTTTCCCATAATCCCTCCAAACACACACAATAGGTGGGGTGGTGTGTTTAATTTTTTATGAGGCGGGTCCCACCGGAGGCCCACCTATTGAAACCCTTCTTGTACACCAATAATAATCCGCCTAGAGAGGGAGAGACTACGCATGATGTTATCTTAGAATATTTTTTGTCACTCTAATTTTCCATCCTCCTATATTTTATGGAAAATTAGGAGAGATCCCAATTTTAACATTTACTTTGACAATTTTCATCACGTAAAACTCATATATATATATATATGTTGAGCACTCGATGTCTCACTTCTAAAGATTAGGAACCAATATCATACTTTTGGATCCAATGCCAAATTTTCCATTCACATCAAATTACGATTCATAAATTATGTTTGACTTGAATATTGATTTGACTAGATTATCGAGTCATTGGATGAATCTGTATGCCAGTGGTCACGTCAATTCATCCAGAATCGTTAGAAAACTTTAATTGAAATCTTCAATAATTTGTATGTGTTTTCGCTATGGAAAATAATATATAAGTTCGGAATGGTCTATTGTTACAGAAATAATTAATTTGTCCATACAACTTTTTATGTCGTATTTTGTCCTATAACATGTTGACATTATAAAATTATTTCCTAAATGGTTCTAACAGTAGTTGAAGTCCTGAAGATTGTATTTATTAAGTTTGATTAATAGATGATTATCAATGAATATGACGAATAATCATAGCCGTTAATTTAAGTCAATCTAACCGTTGAAATCTATTAAAACATTTTAAAAATCATTATACTTGCATCCAAACAAACTTCAATAAAAGTTTTATTAGATTTAGATCGTGAGATTTAACTTAAATTAAGGGTTAAGATTATTTTTCAAATTCATTTATTGGAGGAACAATCTCCTAACTTATATTATAGTTTCGATTATCAACAATATAGACTAACCTAGTGCATGTTTCTTTATTATAATATGTAAGAAGTCATGGAACGCTACTATCATGTTTTCGTAACTTTTTTAAAGAATCGGAAAGCTTTACCAACAGGTTCACTATTTTTCATGAAAATAGTCAGTTTAGACTACTGGATAAATTAAGAACCTATTTACGTGTACTAATTAGAGCAAACTAGGGTTTGATTTTTCGATCAAACTAATCATCTAGTTCGATTCAAATTTAATAACTATTCCGTAAGAGTTGATATGTAAAGCTTAATGTATAAATATAAATTAAACTAAAATTTTAAATGACTTATTCAATATGATATTAAAGTATATGAACATTTTTTTAAAAAATTATAGATAGTCAACCTTTTAAGGTAGTTTAATAGTTGATACGTATTACAAACCGTGTGATAAGCTCTAATGAGTAACAAGGACATCTATAGAGTGAAAAAAATAGTAATAATATTCTAGTCAACTTCATTATTTTTAATAAAAATCCAGAATCTACATCGGGAATCATAAATTAATAGTATTTTTAATTTTTTTTTATATTCGGATTAGTTGATGTCGTCTATGATGTTTTTCGACAAATATATATTGTTTATATTTATACTAAGATTAATAGTATTTAGTTTGTTTGTATAATGGATTTGTTAATGATGGAAGAAAAATTATAAGTTGACGTCACTTTCGTACAATGTACGAACATAAGGATGAATAAATTTCTTCATACGTTGCTCTTTGATTTTATACAATTTTGTTCATCCAGTAGTTTGCCACATAGATTGAATGTGAACTCCATTAGAGATAAATCATATATTGCACTACTCTAAAAATTACTTGCCAAGTATGAGAATCCCACGTCAAATAATTGTAAACGGTGTACATTTCAAATATTACGGTGTAATAGCATTTTTAAAAATGGGATGTAAAATCCTGCCCCGTTGAGTTTGTTTATTGATTTCGTCATTGCCCCTCTAAGATGGTAACTTATTTGAAAATTTTAATCTTAAAATCATACATTTCATCTTGAGCTTTTTGTGTCTGATATCATATTAAGTTTTTAATTTCGTGAGTTCCCTTATAGGTTTAACTTAGTCAAGAAAAGTAATTTTCATTACATTTAATATTTAATTGAAATTCAGATGGGTCTCCACGTAGTGCTTGTTCTTACGTGATAATTTTATTAAGGGCTTGTTCGGTAAATATTAAAATCAGATTCAAATTGAAAAACTAACCGTTACTGTTGACTTTTATTAGACGAGTGAGACCCAATAACGACTATATTTTCAATTTTAATCTTTACTGAACACGTCCTTAGTAAATCTAGAAGCACGTCTAGCTTTGTATTTTATTTTTAACTATATATTTACATCATGTTTGAGCCCCTTTTTTTTCAAAATAATATGTTTTGGAAAAGTATTTTAATGGGGAATGTGTGATTAAGAGTGTGTTTGAAACACATTATTTTGGAAGAACGTATTTTGAAAAAGTAGATTGATGAAGAACGTAAGGTTGAAAAAGAAGAAAAAAGTTATTGATGGGATAAAAATATTATTTTATCGAAGAATGTGTAGTTGAAAATGAGTAGAAAAATAATAATGATACTTTAAATGTGGGCTAAAAAATAAGAAAATTTTTGAATTTGAACGTAATATTAATTTATTGAAAAATGTATCGAAAATTGACGACAACGAGTTTGACAGCCTCTCACATGTGTGCCGGTCCCATGTGAATAAAGAATTCCAAAAAAAATGTGGGTCCTCCTCATATCGTGAGTGTTCGGTCAAAGTGTTTATCAACCATTTTCAATAAGGGTCTAAAACTGTGATGTGACTTGATGATAATTGGATAATGTACAAAACTGGACAGAAGCACAAAGTACCTTACCCCTCAATCAATGGATCCTTTCTACATGCTTGCCTTTTCACACAACACGCAGAGCCATCTCATGGTATAGACATAAATCTATCAAATCACGTGACTCTTTCTCTTTCACGCCTTTAATTTCATCTGTCCGGTAAAGTAAGACATTCTTGTTATACAATTTATTTATTTTATTCTTGTAAAATTTCCATCAACATAGTTTTGTGAGATGGCTAATTAGACAAAACAAGCTCTTCGTTTCTGTCAGTTTAAAATACTGTCAATCTTTTTATTTAATTTTTTCTTCATGTCATATTATGTAAACCGTTATGTACAATTTTGATGTACAAGTAACAAAATCCATTTTTCAAATACAAGAATTTGAGAGAAACTACTAGTATATATACTCAAACACTATAGCCCATGTTTAGTTTGGATTAAAATCTGATTTTAATTCAAGTCATAGTCAAACAATCAATATTAATCATATCTTTATGGGTCCCACGAGTTTCTAACCACACATTTCAAAATTTTCTATCACAATCTAATAAAAATCTAATTTTAATGCATACCAAACACCCTCTTAGTAGAGGAAGAAATTTTGTTGATCAAATACTATTTTTTGAGTAGACTTGAGAAGGTTTTCAATTATTTTTTAATTGTCGGCCAATTCCAAATTTATTATAGAAATGAGAATTAATTGTTGTTTGTTATTGGTTTGCCTGCTTATAGGAAATTCTTGCAGAAGCTTGTTTCCGATAAATTTGATAAGCTTGTTCAATTTATTATTGAAAACAACTACCAGACCATGTTAGTTTTGGTATATTACTCCCCTCTTTTCAAGTGGTCTGGTGAGATCGTGGTCTGAAACCAATAATTCAGATTAACAAATTCGGTGTTGGCATGGTATTAGTTCACTAGTTATCATATTTTCCTACACTTCCAAAATTTAATTTCTTTAGTCAACCACGCGTTTGTCTTCGTGGGATGAGATGGGATGGATGTCCCTAAATTTAATTTCGTTACTCAACCTTGCGTTTTTCTACAGTTATTCAATAAAAATAGTTTTTAAATAGTGAATTTTTGAAAAATGTGGTTAAAAATTAGAAAAATAATTGAATTTAAGTGCAAAATATTTTATTGTGAGAATATGTGATTGAAAATGAATTTGAGAAAAAAGGAGTTCTGAAATAATGGTAGACCATCGGGGGCAAAGAATACATTGTAAATATATGTACGGTTTGCACTGGAAATCTTCGACGGAGAATCAATAATTGATTGTAACTATAGCCTACCATACAAATTACAAAGACTGCCTTGCAAACTCAATAATTTCACGTCAGTATTGATAGCAAAATTTCCATTGAGGCCCTGAACCTACCTAGAAAGTAAATGCTTAGTGCAAAAGTATTGCTTTATTATTTTTTCCCTTTTTAGGTGGTGGATGGGTGGATAGTAGTTGTGCTAAGGGGTAGCTTTGTTTCGACGTGCAGTGCATTATTCCATTGTTCTCGTGCAGTTAAAAAAGATGGCAACTGGCACCACGCTTTTGATCTATATTTAGGCAACAAGTATGGACTACAATGTTAGTAATTTAGACCATCGGACGAACATGCTTAAGAAGGAAAATTAAAAAGTTGTCTTGAACCTTGTGAGTTTCATGTCATTATATTTGTATGTAATGTTTATCATTTTGTATGGAAGGAAGCAGAAATAGTTATGACGTCCTAACTTGCTCTTTGACTGAATAATATTTGGTCGGTTTGGTAGGACTTTGGAAAATCCAAAGGGGATGCTTCTATAATTTTTAAAAGTGCTTTGTTTGACTAAAAGAGTTTATATGTGAAATTGGTCTAAAGTAACTTTGTCACAAAGCTCAAAGTAAAAGCAAAACAGAAGCTCTTGCCAAAAGGGACCATAAAATAAATGTATACTTCCTGTAACTTTGGTATAACTTATAAGGGAATGTCTCATCTTCTCTCTCTATATATACCAGTGGAAATGTTCTCCTGCCCACGGTGGGCAGAATAAGACTGCTCACCTGCTGATGTGACACGAGAATCCAACGTTGGGTTCTCTCCGAGTGAGCATTACAAGACTTCTAGGGCAGGAGAACAACTCTATATATACCAGCGTTTCAGCTTAATGAATTTTAAGCTAAGAGGAGATGACACCAATTGCTAGTATGTCAAGAGCTTTTTTCAGTTTTATGTTCACCTTGACTTTATTACTTTTCTTCAAAGCAACAACTGTTTTAGCACAGAGTGGATCTCTTCCTGAGGAGGAAAGTAAGTCTCACATAGTTAGGCTTTTTATGGTTTTCGAACAATTTTTGCCCTTACATTACAACTTCTGCTTATCTCTAGACATTCGCTTTGTTCAACATGCATCGAATCACATTTCAATAGAAATATTGATTTCCAATTTTTTCAGAGAATGCTCTTCATGAAATAGCTGATCAGTTGGGAAAAAAGGATTGGGACTTCAACCTGAATCCTTGCGATGGGAACTCAAACTGGTCAACACCAAAAAGATATGATATGCCATGGTACAACAATTCTATCATCTGCAATTGTTCTTCCCCTGGCGGTGTATGCCACGTAAAAAGCATGTAGGCTTTCTTCCTAAAGAAACTTCTTTTATTTTTGGATACTGTGAAACTGATCTAGAAATAGCCCTTTATGCTGTTAAAAAATTGCTTAGAAAAATTATTCTGTTGCTACATTGATCTTGAAGTAGGAAAAATATATGATGGTTGATTATCTTTTGTCAATCAGTGAAAATAATACTTTCTGTGGGAATATTATGTTTTTTTCTCACCTGAACTTATGGTGCCTAGTAATCAAACTTGACCTTTCTGCTCTGTTTTATATTGCTAGAGTCTATCATCATAAATTATAATCAGGATCCTCTCTTAACATGTGTATCTGAATTTCTTCAATAATCAGTGTTAGTGATATAAATATAAAAAAGTACCTTTATTCTCCATTCAGCCAAGAATACATCTTCATTTCACCATGTCAATGTTGCAAGTTACTTTTTTGATTCTTAAGTTTGAGTTGAAGGTGAAATCGCATAACATTTGTAGTATACTCTAGACGAAGCACTCTAAGAAGTTGCTCAACTTCAAACACTAGACGACTTATGATACATCAGTTTACTTTGGAAAATCCAGTGAAGTTGTTACTGCTAAGCCTATGGATATAGCACAATAGCTGAATTTCCAAGTTTATGTTCAATTTATTATAATCTACTCAACTTTTTGCTTCTAAATGATGAGCCAATTTATTGGCTTCATTGATCTCGTTCTTAATCTATTGGCTGCAGTGATCTTAATCGCAACTTCCTCAGTGGTACAATACCCAAGGAATGGGAATCTACCAATTTGGAATACATGTGAGCTTTCCCAGTGGCTTTGTCATTGAGATTTTGCAATGATGTAATGTCTACATTCTTGGTTATATTGACAAAGTATATGTGCTTTAGGTCTCTTATTGTGAACCGCTTATCTAAACCTATACCGAAATACTTGGGAAACATTACTACCCTTGTATATTTGTGAGTTCCTATCTAACTTTCTCCCTTCATATTTATATTTTATATATGTGGGCATTTCGACGTTCACAATCATACACCATAGATATTCTATTTGATAGTGGATATATTTGGGCATAATTCTAATTATCTATTGAACTTTCAGGAACCTGGAGAGCAACTCGTTTAATGGGACCATTCCAACAGAGTTAGAGAAGCTGGTCAATTTAGAAAATCTGTAAGACCTTTTTGATCATTCATATTTTAAAGAATTATGTGATTGAATTAGTTGAATTTATATATGTTCGACTTCTCTTTTTTGGCCCTTGCAGCATTCTAAGTGATAATAATCTCACTGGTGAGTTGCCGATTGAATTAAATAATCTAAAAAAGTTGACAGAACTGTAAGTATGTTACCACACCTTTCTTGAATTATAAATTAATTCAGCTACTGTGTGATAACAAGTGTTTTGGGGGGCAA